TCAGAGCTAGCCAAGAGTTGAAGGGAAAAGCAGACAAAAATGAGGGAAAAATAGATAAAATCATGGAAAAGACAGACAAAACAATGGAGGAATTCAGGAAAATAATACAGCAACAAAATGTCAAAATAAATTCACAGTTAGAAATCATACAACAACAGCAATTAGAAATCCAAAAGATAAACAACAAGATTTCAGAAATTGACAGTGTCATAGAAGGCCTGAGGAGCAGGTGTGAAACAATGGAAGACAGGATCAACGAAATTGAAGACAAATACTTGGATACCACTTTGTTTGAGGAAAAATCAGAAAAAAGAATGAAGAAAAATGAAGAAACCCTGAGAATTATATGGGCTACAATCAAAAGCAAAAAATTGCGAGTGATCAGAGTTCCAGAAAATGGAAAACACAGAGAGGATCAACGAAGAATTGCTGACAGAAAACTTCCCCAATATCATAAAAGATGAAAAGCTGACCATCCAAGAAGCTCAACGAACCCCATATAGGATAGACCAAAAGAAAATCACCAAGGCATATCATAATCACACTCACTAAAACAAAAGATAAACAAAGAATCCTAACAGCAGCTTGAGAAAAATGTAAAGTCACATACAGAGGGGAAACAATAAGACTGAGCTCTGATTACTCGACAGAAACTGTCAGGCAAGAATGCAATGGGATGACATATATAAAACCTTAAAAGAAAAAAATTACCAACCAAGAATAATATATCTTGCAAAACTCTTGTTCAGATATGATGGTAAAATTAGGACATTTCCAGATAAACAGAAATTAAGGAAATATGTAAACACCAAACCAAACTTACAAGAATTATTAAAGGGAGTCCTTCGGTTTGAGAATAAACAACATCAGACAACAGCCTGAATCTAGGATGCAAGACTGTACCAGCCAGATAACAACCTAGGAAATGAACTCTCAAGGATTAATCAAAGCTAAAAGATTTACAACAGGGGACCAGAAAGGTTAATCTGTAAATGACAACAACATCAGAACAATAAAAGAGGGAATAAACGGTGTAGGTATAGAACTTTCTAATGGAGAGGAAGGCAAGGCGATACCAAGTAATAAAAGACTGGTTCAAACTTAGGAAGATAAGGCTAAATTTCATGGTAACCACAAAGAAAGTTAACAAACATACTCATCAAAATAAAGAAGGAAAACATAAAGTCTCAGTAAACACAAAATCTACAAAAACAAAAGAAATGAAAAAAAAAATCCACAAACAAAAGGAATTCAGCACAGGAGAGTAAGAGGAACAAAGAAAACGTCAGCACTACAAAAAAAGCACCACAAAATGACAGCAATAAACTCACACCTATCAATGATTACACTGAACATAAATGACCTAAATGCATGCATAAAGAGACAGAGAGTGAGAGGACGGATAAAAAAAACGGGATCCATCAATATGCTGTCTACAAGAGACACACCTTAGAAACAGAGACATGAATTTATTAAAAAATCAAAGAATGTAAAAAAATATATCAAGCAAACAGCTACCAAAAAAGAGCAGGAGTGGCAATACCAATCTCAGATCATAAAAGACTTTAAAACAAAATCCACCATAAAAGACAAAGAAAGGCATTATATAATGATTAAAGGGACAATCCAACATGAAGATATAACCATAATAAATATCTACGCACCCAATGACAGGGCTCCAAAATACATAAAATGAACTCAAACAGCAAGGAAAAGAGAAATAGACGGTTCCACAACACACCACAACACACCACTTCAACACACCACTCTCGGTAAAGGACAGCACATCTAAAAAGGAACTCAACAAAGATACAAAAGATGTAAAGGCCACAATGAGCCAACTTGACCTCATAGACATTTATAGAACACTCCACACAACAGCTGCAAAGTACACATTCTTTTCCAATGCACTTGGAGCATTCTCCAGAATAGACCGCATCTTAGGCCACAAAGCAACCCTCAACAAAATCCGAAACATTAAGATAATACAAAGCATCTTCTCTGATCTCAATGCCATCAAAGTAGAAACTAACAACAGGAAGCGCAAGGGAAAAAAATCAATTACATGGAAACTGAATAACACCTTGCTTAAAAACCACTCTGTGCAATAGAAGAAATCAACGATAGAATCAAAAAATTCCTAAAATCAAAAGAGAATGAAAACACATCATACTAAAACCTTTGGGACACAGTAAAGGCAGTGCTCAGAGGTTGATTTATAGTAATAGATGCACACATCCAAAAAGAAGAAAGGGATAAAATCAAAACATTAGCTACACAACTCAAACAAATAGAAAGAGAATGGCAAAAGAAGCGCACAGCCACCAGAAGAAAGGAAATAACAAAGATCAGAGCAGAAATAAATGAAATAGAGAATAGAAAAAGAATAGAATCAACAAAACCAAAAGTTGGTTCTTTGAAAGGACCCACAAAATCGAGAAACCACTTGCCAAATTGACAAAAGAGAAACAGGAGAGGACAAAAACAACCCAAATAAGAAATGAAATGGGGGACATTATGACAGACTAAACTGAAATAAAAAGGATCATAACAGAATACTATGAAAAACTATTCTACAACAAATTTGAAAACCTAAAGGAAATGGACTAATTTCTAGAAACACACAACCTACCCAAACTAACACAAAATGATGTTGAAAATCTGACCAGACCCATAACAACACATGGAAAAGGTAATAAAAAACTCCCAACAATAAAAGCCCTGGAGCAAGGGAGAATGAAGAAAACAAGATACAAGAGAAAGATTAGTCCAAAGGACTAATGGACCACAACTACCACAGCCTCCACCAGACTGAGTCCGGTACAACTAGATGGTGCCCAGCTACTACCACTGACTGCTCTGACAGGGATAACAACAGCGGGTCCCAGACAGAGCTGGATAAAAATGTAGAACAAAATTCTAACTCACAAAAAAAGACCAGACTTACTGGCCTGACAGAGACTAGAGAAACCCGAAGAGTATGGCCCCTGGACACCCTTTTACCTCAGTAATGAAGTCACTCCCGAGGTTCACCCTTCAGGTTAGACAGCCCCATAAAACAAAACAAGGCTAATAGGGCACACCAGCCCAGGGACAAGTACGAGAAGGCAGGAGGGGACAGGAAAGCTGGTAATAGGGAACCCAAGGTCGAGAAGGGAGAGTGTTGACATGTCACGGGGTTGGTAACCAGTGTCATAAAACAATATGTATACTAACTGTTTAATGAGAAGCTAGTTTGTTCTGTAAACTATAATAATAAAGTATAATAAAGTATAATAATAAAGAAAAATAAATAAATATAAAAAATTGGTCTATTCTTTCAAAAAAAAAAAACAAAAAGACTAAATGGGCACACCAGCCTAGGAGCAAGGGCAAGAAGGCAGGAAGGGGCAGGAAAGTTGGTAATGGGGAACCCAAGGTCTAGAGGGGAAAGTGTTGACACGTCATGGGGTTGGCAACCAATGTCACAAAACAATATGTGTATTAATTGTTTAAGAAGAAATTAATTTGCTCTGTAAACCTTCATCTAAAGCATAACAAAAAAGAAAAGTCTAAATTAATGCAAAAAAATTCACGATGAACAAAATATCAATTTTTTAAATAAAGACAGGATCTGTATTCCAGATTTCTCTTTCTGCCTCAGGCTCTGGTACAGATTGCATGGAATGTTACTGATCCTGTCATCACCAGCCTCACCCTGGAGGGAGGAAGGGGCACCTGCCTGGAGTCCAGCAGCGTCACTACCACTCCCCTGAGCACGCAGGCAGGTTCACGAGTGGTCCTGGCCCCACCCCATGCACCCAAGGCAGCAGTGGTGGCACCAGGACAGGCCCTAGTGTTGCTCTTTGGCTCTGCTGACCTGGTGCCAGCTCTTGAGTGGTTTTTTGGCCGCACGTAGACAGGTCAGTGCGGGGCCAGGGCCCAGCCAGAGTCCCAGGACAGCCCCGGGTGTATAAGGCTCAGGACCTACAACTTGGTCACCACACAGAGCTGACAAGCTCCTGCTGGTGCTGCCAACAGAAAGGGAGCTTGCTAGCACTACACAGCCCTGCCTTGTTTGGTTTTGGTGTTTTGTTTTTAATTGAAGTGAAATTCACGTAACAAAATTAGCCATTTTAAAGTGAACAATTCAATGGCATTTAATGCAGTCACAATGTTATGCAACCACTACCTCCATCTAGTTCCAGAACCTCATCACCCCCAAAGGAAATCTCGTACTCTGCCTTTTTGCTAAAGGACATAACCCTGAAGAAAATGGCAAAATTCCAGCAATGCACCTCATGTATAACCACCACCTGTTCATCAGTGGAGGCTGCGTGCTGCTATAATACTGAACGGGTTTCAGTGATCTTTCCAGACTAAGGCAGACTAGGAAAAAAGTCCTGGTGGTCTAATTCCAAAAATCAGCCAATGAAAACCCTATGGATCACATGATCTGATCAGCCACTGATCATGGGAATGGCACAGGACTGAGCAGCATTTTTTCCATAGTGCATGGGGTCACCAAAAATTAGGGGCCAACTCAACAGCAACAAGGACCAACAACAGCAACAAGCAGAGATAGAGACAGGCTCACAGCTGGGCACCGAAGGTTGACCCTGACTGCAAGGAGCCCACCACCTTTCGCAAGGAGCCCACCACTTTTAGCTGAGATGTATACGGGCAGGAGGCAGAGTATTAGGGGATACGCTGGTTGGTCTTTGAAAACCAGTGACCTATGGGAGACAAGGCACAGCCTCAGAGTAGCAAACTGACCAACAGAAATGCTGCCCCGGGCATCCTTTCCCTGCTGGGGCTGAGGACACCCCTTGGCCCCCTATACTTCAACAGAGCTCCAGGATGACCCCTGGGGTTTTCCTGTCCTGAGACGCCCTAGTCCCTTCACAGACATGTCATGTCACAGAGTTAACACCCATGGGCTTGTCCCCTCACCTTCTGCACAGGCCCAGCCCAGGTGGTGGTGCTTATCTATGTATGAGCCTCCGTATCTATGACCAGCTATGTTTGCTGATGACATCACGTCCGTCCTGGGCTTCCTGATCGATCATGACTCAAGGGTGAGCTCTTGGTCAAGGTGAGTCATGCCTTAACCCACACAAATAGGCAGAGAAGTAAGCTGGAGGGAAAACCTCACAGGTGACACACAGCTGTTGATGTAAAGAGTTTGTCATGCCAATGCACTCTGAGAACTTTAGAATTATCTTTAAGTATTCATAGTAATTATGCTAGTAAATACTGAAAAGGTAATGTTAAAATTGTAAAATGAAAGTCAGAAGAAAACCCATTGGTCCAACACTCAGGATATTGGTGGTAGCTTTAATTCCTACTTGTGGTAGAGTTGAATTGGAGAAATCTTTAAGAAAATTTGTCAGTCACTATGGGACAAATAACAGAAGAGATGGAAGCACAACAGTGATCTCTGATCTCATAAGCCGAGGTATCATGAGATAACAAAACAGCCTTAGATTTTTTTTATTAGTGTAATCTGTGCTGTAGACAAGATATACATAGAATTAGACAGCAAGCTACTTGGTTACACATTGTCACACTCATACAAACACCAGATTTGTTTGGTTGATTATCATCAGGAATGAGTACATGGACTAGATCACTATTGCAAGTAATAGTAATATTCTTAGTCTACATCCTGATAGTATTAGGCATAATAAAATTTAACCTCTATTGTCTTACACACCTAAAAGGCAAAAGAAGGCCTCAGGCTAAAATGTTGTATATTGAGTCTGCTCACTCCAGCAATGTGATTGATGAGAACATCGCTCTAACTTAAGATCTTGGTGAAGAACTAGATGGTATCCGGTGGAAAACCAGCACCATGAGTTTAAAGAGCCTGCAATGGCCACCATCTAGGAGCTCGACTAAGTCCAGGTATTGATCAACGATGTGTTATCTCCAATCTCCAATCAAAAGGAGGGACTGATTTAGGAAATAATATTGGAGTTATTATTCCCTCTCCTTGAGCATAGAGAATGTGACCCAGCTGGAGCTGGGCTCACAAGGACTCACAAGGACACATCAACTGGGCCCTGAGGTATAAAGACAATAGCTAAGATAATCTTGGAAAACATCTTTTAGGGAAACTCTCACATAAAGCCCATCAAACACAACACAAAAGACTTTCCACTCTTATCTTTTTTCTATTAGCATTTAGTGAATAGAAATTTGTTGGACCAATGAAGACCCTCCTGACTCTCATTACTGAAACCTGTACCAATGATTGTTAAGAAAGACAATTCAAAATGTAGGATCACAGTTTCTAGCCAATCTGTGAAAAGACTAAACTTTCAATGGTTTTGCCCATATGTAATGTTAATATATACTGATGGCTCTGTAACTGTTCTTTGGGCTCGGGCAGACATGGCTGTGGCAGCATGCTTGTCCGTTTTCCCATTCTTGCCTATTCTGTAATATTCTTTGGTCTTGGGCAGGCATGGCTCTAGCAGCTTGCTTGTCCGTTTTCTCACTTTTGTCTGTTCTGTGATATTTTCCTTGGATTCAGGCAGACATTCTAGCTCTGGCAGCATGCTTATCCACTTCCCACTTTTGTCCTTTTTGAATATGTGCCGAATAAAACTTTCTTTTTGCTTTACTAAAAAAATAAAAAGAGTTTGTCCTGCGAGTTTGTGGTAGCTTGCATATTGCTATGGTGCTGGAAGTTATGCCACTGATATTGCAAACACCAGCAGGTTCACCCATAATGGACTGATTTCAGCAGAACTTCCAGACTAAGAAGAAAGGTCTGGAGATCTACTTTCGAAAATTAGCCAATGAAAACCTTATGCATTGTGAACAGAACATTGTCCGACTTGCTTGCTTTGGACACACCATCAGGTGGGGTCCATCACTGGAGGAGGACATCATGTTTGGTGAAGTAGAGGGCCAGCAAGGAGACATGTATGGACACAATAGCCACAACAAAGGAATTCAACGTGCCAGCAGTTGTAAGGAGGACATAGGACTAGGCAACATCTCATTCTGTTGTATGTAAGGTCATCATGAGTCAGAGGCTACTCAATGGCAACTATCTATCTCTATCAGACCCCCAACCCTTACCTAGCACCTCACAGTGTCTGCCAAGCTCACTTTTGTAAAGCTCACAATGTCTCATTCCCATTTTGCAAGTGAGAAAAAAGGCTCAGAGCAGTGCAGCATGGTGCCCAAGGACACATAGCAAGCAAGCAGCAGAAGGGTTTGCTTACCATCTGGTAGCAAAGGCAGCAAAGTTGGGACAGGAGCAATGATTCCAAAAGGCAGAGAGGGGAGAAGGGCATTCCATGGAGAAGTGGGCAGAACCCTGTTGTAAAGAATTTATTAGATAACTGAGATCTTTTCAGGGTGGGCCCAAATTCCAGCAGCAGGTCCCAAGGCTTCCTCCCAAGCAAACCAAAAACCAAACCCATTGCCATCGAGTCAGTTCTGACTCATAGCAACCCTATAGGACAGAGTAGAACTGCCCCATAGGGTTTCCAGCAAGTGGCTGGTGGATTCAAATTGCCAACCTTTTGGTTAGCAACCAAACTCTTAACCACTACGCTACCAAATGGTGGCCCAGGAAGAGTTCTTTTCAGCTTTCCTGCCCACCTGGCCCATCTGTGGTTCATCCCCTTTCATCATCCCTCATCCCAGCACGACTGCTCAAGGTTGACAATTTAGACTTGTGATGTTGGGTGGGCCAGTCAAAAGAAATTGAGAAGTGTGCACTCTGTTAAATATATATATATATATATATATATATATATATTTTTTTTTTTTTTTGAGAGGAAGGAAGACACAATGCTTGGGGAACACTGAACTTCTGTCAGCCAAAAAACCAAACCAAAACCGTTGCCATCAAGTCGATTCTGACTCATAGCGACCCTATGGGACAGGGTAGAACTGCCCCATAGGGTTTCTGTAATCTTTACAGGAGCAGATCACCAGGTCTTTTCTCCTACAGAGCTGCTGGTGAGTTCGAACTGCCAACCTTTCAGTTAGCCGCCGAACACTTAACCCTGTGCCACCAGGGCTCTTTTTGAGCCTCAAAAGTCCACTCAAAAATCAAACAGCTAGCTCAATCAAATTTGGGAGCAGTTAATGGTGATGGCTGAACAACTGAATGAACATATTAAATGTCATTGAACTGGACATGTGAAGATTGTTGAAATGGCAAATGTTTTGTTACCTATATATTTACCACTATTAAAAAATATATATTTTTAGTTAAATTTGAAATGCATTTGCAAAGTGGTTGCACAACGTGGGAGAGATGTGGCAATTCCACTTGACCTCACCAGCTCGCAGGGAGCCTGAGAGTGAGGGCTGCAGAGCCTGGGCCTTGGCTGCGATCTCTGTTTACAGTGAAATGAAGTAATCTGGAGATCAAACGCAGCTTTGGAGGGGAGAGGAAGAGGCAGTGGCTGCAGCCTGGGACGTGGATCCATGGCCTTCCCTCTGCCTCCGCCAGGCAGCCTCAAGCCGCCCCAGTGCTTCCTCCTGGCCAGGAGTCCCAGCAGCAGGGACCACACCGCTGCTGCTCCTCGCTCCTGCATGTTCCTGAGGGGAAAGTCTGACCTGGCATCACACCTGGCAGCCACATCTCTTGAGAAGTGTCACAAGGGAAGTGTGGCCTCTTGAAGCCCACCCCCCCACTTGGTCATCTGGAGCACTGCCCACCCCTACTTCTACTGACCAGAACACTGAGGCCCAGGGACATGTCAGGACTTGCTCCAAGTCACAGGGGTCATTATCATTGAGATGAGATTTAAATTTGCCAGACCTGGATGGTGCAAACAGTTAACATCACCCAGAGGGACCTTGAAAGAAAAGCCTGGTGATCTGCTTCCAAAAAATCAGCCATTGAAAGCCCTAAGGAGAACAGTTCTACTCTGACACACATGGGGTCACCATGAGTCAAAATCGACTTGATGGCAATTGGTGGTGGTGAGACAGTTGTTTCCACCACATAGAGGACACTACCATGGGTTCTGTCACATTCAAATGGCAGCAGAAGTTCTCTGTCATCAAGTCACAATCGGGACAGGCCTCGGCAGTCTATGTCTGCTCCAGATTGGAGAGGGGATTTCGTGTTGTCCCCGATGTTCTGCTTACAACTGCCTGGAAACATTTTTAGACACTAAATGCAGCACCATTTTGCAAGCTGCCATGACTACGTGGAGGAAGAATCCATTGAGTCTAGACTCAAGAGTCCACTCAAAAATCAAACAGCTAGCTCAAAGTGGGAGGAAATGCAGACCCCAAAATATTGGTGGCACAGTGGTTAAAGCTTGGCTGCTTACCGAAAGGTTGGCGGTTCAAACCCACCAGCTTCTCCACAGGAGAAAGATGTGGCAGTCTGCTTCTGTAAAAATGACAGCCTTGGAAACCGTATGGGGCAGTTCTCCTCTGTCCTGTAGGGTCGCTAGGAGTTGGAATCAACTCAACGACTACGGGTTTAACGTCAAATATCCACAAGTTTCAAAACCTAAGGAGTTCTGAATGACATTTGTACTACAAGTAAACAGCCAAAACCTCCTCTCCTTTTGTGTTCTGAAGCTACTGTTCTAGGAGAAATCACCCAAGAATTATGGCCTCAATTACAGCTCCACAGATGTATCATCACTTTAGCTAATAAAAATGCAGGAATACTTTCCTACTCGGAGACTTTTTTGTGTCTGTGGATATTGTCATTGTCATTGTCGTTTTGTGGGAAGTCTTGCAGTAAAAATGACCGGCTCAAAAGCAAAGTGGGTGATTTGGCTTTACAATATTTTTATTTGCCAACTTTGAAAAATGATTCAGAAATTTATTTCTTAGAAGAAAGGGTATAAAATTGTGTCCTTTAACTAAAGCACAATAGAAGTGCTTTTGGAAAGTGGCTTGAAGACATAAATGCAGACAATATTTTCCTAGAAAATCCCAATTTTGATAACATTTCCCTCCTTTGGGCTCCATAATTATACTCGAATTTGGCAGTCCATGTGTCTTTTGTTTTTATCTTCAAAATATGTTCATCACAAAAAGGTAGGAATTTAAATGTATTAAAAGTTCCAAGAAGCCCTTT